TAAATCTAGAATTAATGGACATAAGCATGAGTTGATGCAACTTCTACAGAAATTTGCCTTCCAAAATCTGATGAAAATAAGCACCAGTGAAGCTGATGCAGTTATATAGGCCTCAGATTATAGGACAGGTGGAGGCCAAGGCCCAGCCTGGTTTAGGCATTTCAGATGGGCATGTTTCCATGGAAGGGGCTGCATTACCTGTGGGTTAGAAAGCAACACCAAAATACAGTGAGGAGCATATTGCAGTTGTACTTCTGTTAAGGCTGGTTTCCCCCTCCTCTACCCCCTTCTTTAATAAAGGAACAAAAGAAAATCCCAAACAGGAGATGCACTTTTTGGACATTAATGGGCCCAAAGCACAAATCCTTTCCCATTGAACTTCTGCTTCTTGTGCTGTCACTGCGCGCATGTACCGTCTGTGCGGCTTCAGGTACACCCGGGGCATCAGCTCTAACAGAGAGAGGCGATAGAATTGTTTTCTGCTTGTTCTCATGTTATGTGGTACTGAAATGCAATTTCTTGTTTCTGCATTACTAATTAAAAGATCTTTAAAATGGCACTGCATTGCTCTTGCTTTCTTGAGGTGACTGTAAAGCTGGCGAGCATCACTTCTTACACAGCACAGCTGCTAAGGCTCTGTGCCACGTTTGTTTCGTCAGGTAGAGCCCTGAGCAGTAGCTGCTGCAGGTTGTAGCTTAGAAACAAAATTGTAACAAGAGTAAGAAGAGGAAGTATTGTACCAACAGGGCCCCAAATTAAGAGCCCTTACTGATGATTTTACTTGCAGGTGCTTTCCAGTAAAAAAATGAGAATCATACCTCAGTCACCTCAGCTGGGAGAAAACTAAGGACAGGACTTGTGTTTCACAAGAACGCCTTTTCACCGAACAAATTCATAGTGAAAGCCTGACCTGGTTCCTGGAGCTGCAATTAACAGGCAGGCCCCTAACCTGCATGATTCTGAGTGGTGGCAAGTCCTGATGATGGGAATAAGAAAATAATTTATTAGATAACTAAGGTTTTATTTACAAGTCATGGCTAATCTTTTGAGATATTTCCCTCCTGTTTTACTGCAAAATGAAGCAGCTCCAGACCCAAATGGAGCTCCCTGTTTGGGCACAGAGGATCCCTGCAGTGCTTTTGACCAGTACAACACATGGCTTACAGGGAGCTCCAGGGAGCCTCGTACTGGGTCCTGCTGCTTACCCAGCACAGGATAATGCAGATAATTTTTCTGCAGCCTTCTCTGAAAACCAACAGTAGTTACACTCAGAAGTATTTGTTGGTTTTTTTAACTGAAGATGCAATTTATTTAGGATAGCACCATAGTGTACATAGACACTTTACATACAGAGTCCTGCCCTTCAGAGCTTACAGTCTAGAAATATACAATAGGAAAGGTGTTCCGCGCTGCTCCACCTGAAGATTTAAATGAAAAGTGTCACATAGAGGAATGTTATTGGTCACCCTAGTGCTACTAAGGACTGACTATTCTCCCAACAGCTATGACCCTTCCCTCCATGAGGTCAGCAGCTATGATGGAGGAAAAGAAGTATGGGGGAGCATGGAGTACTCGCAGGGCAAGTCAGGAGAAAAAGGAAAAAAACAACTCTACATAAAACTGATTACACACATGGCCATTTGATTACACTGTTGTAAGTTAATGCCTTTTGTTGCTAACATGAGCCTATCTGCACTAGCTCAAAAACCCGACATCAACCAGAAACCAGCGTTTACCTCAGGTTTGGTACCTTCAAAATCTTAAAATCCTTCATGAGCTAACATGCCCAGTTTGCCATGCTCTGGGAACCACTGCTGCTGCCTCCCCTCACTGTTTCCCCCACAGTCAGGAACCAGCTGTCCCCAGCATCAGCCCTCCACAGCAGGCATGTGCGATGCAGCTGTAGCTACTGCGCAGGGTGAGCAGCCACACTGCCAGCCCATCAGGAGACCTGATATGCTGGCACTAAGTTCTTAAAACCACCTCCCTATACACACACACATACACACCCCCCCTCCCTACCTGCCCCTCTCCTTTCCCTTGAATTGCAACCTAACAACTCAGAAACACTGTCCTGGAAGCCTCCGCATCTTGAACAACAGTAAACAATTTCCCTCCCCCAACACACATAACTCTATTTTGATTTCTATTTTCAGCTCTCAAAGTGCAGAATTCTTACTCCAACTCACAGTTGCTACTCATTAATCAGCATGATTACAAGTGCTAGGCTTTCTTCTGCTTGGTGCTTCAAGATCCTTCGAAGTTAATGAGTATTACATTAACACCAGTTCTCCTTTACATACTTCTTTTCTCCCACGTACCGGGCTGTTTCTGCACCAATCCAAAAAGCTACACCCACCCTCCCCTGCTCCTGCAAGCAGCCTAGGACTTTCCCTCACATGCAGCTTTCTGTCTTTGACAGACACCTCACTCAATGCACATGACAAAAAACTGGCTTTGGAAAGATTTGTAGCCATTTCCAGTAACTAAAGAAAAGATGTGGGAGTGTGCCTAGGGAAGGACCAAGATAAGCAGTTCCACAGGCAGGGGTTTTTTGGTTGTGGTTTGTTTTTTTTTTTGCCTCAAGAGTCAACTCAGAGTGTAAGTGACAGAACTGGGAAATAGAGTGCTTCAAAACCAGCACTATGCATAGCAGGGCTGACCATACAGCTGCAGATCCCATCAGATCCCATGGTGAAGAGTCACATGGTCAAGGGGGAAGAAGGGTGGGAGCCCCAGACGCAAAGGAGATGGATAGAAAAGCAGAAAAGTGAAAATGTCCAGGAAAGCTTATGGGAAATGAAGACTCACTACAGCTGCTAAATACTGGAGCCTGCCTCGTCCCAGTGTGACCACTGCCTGCAAGGTCCTTTGTACACACTGGCCCAATGAGCATCCACGGGAAGATCAGTAAGCCCAGAGGGGCAGGAGTGTCCCCTACCCAAAGACAAGGTGAGAAGCAGCAGCATTGCCCAGCAGCGAGAGGCAGTGGAGTGATGGAACTGGCCTCAGAGAAATCAGGTTTTTTCCTACCCAAAGCTTCCCCACTCCCCTTTAGCCTACAGAAAAGCAGAGGAGGACTGAGCACAAGCAGGCAAGGTGCTGATTCATGGCAAGTGGAGCAGCAGACACCTTTGAAACCCAAGCATCTAGCCATATAGTTCCCAAGTAGCATGAGATATGGAGCAGAAGCAGCCAAAAACAGTGGTGAATTAAACAGAAAGGTGATGCTGCAACACAAGCAGATAAGGATTTTTTGTGTGTGTGTGGAAGAAGGAAACAAAGTGTGAAGAAAGTAATCCAGAAAACTGATGCACAACTGGTACCAACCCCTAAGGTGTGGCAGAGGAGTTTGGGCCTAGGCAGAATATAGGAGCCTGTAGTGACTTTCTTGGAACACCAACTAGTGCTGGGAGGTGCTATACACAAGCCAGTCAGCTGTAGGACAACGCTAACAATTCTTTCAAATCTGATGCAAGAAGTGGCTTTAGACAATTCTTCTTCCAAGCTGTAGCAATATATAAACCTCTCCAAAGACCCTCCTATACCCCCCACCCAATGGTTATGTTTTCATCATCTCCAGTAGGCAGGTATGGAAATGCTGTAGTACAAGTTCACACACACACACTTACTCATCTTTTCCTTCCGTTTGCAGAGCTTTGCTTTAGTTGCACTCCCCTTCCTAGCAGAACCCCATCAGGAGCTAGGATGTCATCTGTCCTCAGCCAGAAAGTGGCATCACTCCTCAGAGAAGCACAACTGACCTGCACCAAAGCCATCCAGTGTATCTTCCAGAAAGGAGTTGGTAGCAGCCTTTAATTTTCTGTTCCAAAATAAGAAGGGCTTTAGATCCATATAAAAACAGCAATGTAAATATTAACTACTCATGTAATTGCTTTCAACTAATATATATATATTATTTTTTAATTAAGTTTATTCATTAGGGTCATGTAATTTAATGAAACTATAGGTACACCCAAATTAATGTTCACTTTCAAACTAACAATGAAACACTGAAATGTCCCTTAAGCTACAGACGCTTCAAAATTACCAGATCAAAACAGTGACCAACATTTTCTAGTTTTTTTAGAAGTTACTCATGCTCTTTAACAGCTTCCTAAACACCTTCTTGCCACATGACTGAGTAAACATCCTTGCAACACTTATTTCACTTTGTGTACACACCAAAAAAATGTTAAAATGCCCTAACAGAAGACTGTCTAAGAAATGTATACTACACCTGAACCAGATATGAAAGCTTTGTCAATGTCAGACAAGGATAGGACTGTTACCCATATATATTTATGCACTTTTTAAAGGAAGCAACTTCTGCAGTTACTGGAGTATTTTTCCAGATAATGAGAAGCATTTAAAATGACCCTAAAAACATTTTGTACCAACGTGGAAAAGTGTTGAAAAAAATGCAGTTACACTGGCAGTCAGCAGTTAGTAGAAAGCACTCAAAAAGGAGAGTCCATTTGTTTTTCGTGTACTCTTGTTTTCTCCATTCACAGCTTGAGAAGTTCATGTTCATGAAACCTTATCATCTGGATTTCAAATTTCCTGCTTATTTCTCTTTCCAACTCTTCTGGTTATTGCATTAGTCTCTCTCTCTCAGTTAAGACATGATACGAAGAGCAAGGACCAGTTGAACAGCACAGTCTCTTCATTCAAGTAGCCTACAAGTACCCTTCTTAGAGATAAATAAGAGAAGTATTTTCCAGCACCTTCCAGGAATTACTACTCCTCTGCTCAGAGGGAGGGGAGGAACTAGGGCAAGTTAATAAATATGAAAATAAATTATACCCTTCTCCCCACCAAGAAAACTGTTTTAGGCTATTAACATCAATAGAAACTTTATCTTTGTGTGAATACAAACATCTAGGAGGTAAAGTATCTGCGCCATGTTCAGACAGCACATTTAAACAATATAAGAAAATTTAGTACCACACAAATCTCAGCTTTTCAGGACAATCCTCTAGATAGGTATCTAATTCTACAGATTACCAAACAAACAAAACTCAGTGCTCTAGTACTTATCAGCCCTTCACAGAACAAATGTTCATATGGAAAACTCTTAATACCACATATGCATTCTTTTCAAGTTTGAGTACGAAAAACCAAGACGGTATAAATGTAACATAGTCTCTATCTTTGTTATAAAAGGCACATTTAGGCAGTTTTAAATGTGCTAAATGTTTTGTTTCCAGTGTTAAAAATAAATTGTTTAAACGAAAAGAGTATCTGCAGGAGGTCAACTTAATATTCAGTAGGGAACGGGAGCTGCTGTAGAGATGACGGATGAGGTTACTTTTCCACTGATCCAAAATTCTTATAAAAACACAAAACCTCTGCAGATCAGCCTTAGGATAGAGAGCTGTAAAGCAGTCTGCAGAATAAAACTTCTCTGCCAGTTACTTGTTATTTTTGGTATTATTTTTCTGTTGATGCTGCTGCCATGGCTGGTTTCATGCCCTCGTGCGTTGACTTCAGGTCCTCCAATTCTGTGTTTAGTTTGCTGATCACCCACTCCAGGGCATCTCGACCCTGCCAGAAAAATACTGGAATTTAGGACCAGAACAGATACACCACCACTGCTTACATTTCTATAGTTTTTCCTCTGTCAGACATGAGGCTTTTTTAAAAATTAATTTAATGTCCTGCGTAATTTGACACCGGATTATACCAATAATTTCTTAGCATCTTCTTATGTAACCTTCACTGCAAAGGCATTTGCTTAACCCATAAGCAAGAAACAAATGCAATATTAGTGTGAGCTCCCAGTAGCACCCTTAGGCAAAAAGCCTAATTCAGCACTTAAGTTCCCTTATGTACAAGTACTGCTGCTTTAACCAGTTGCTGCTCCCACCACCCAAAGAGTATCAGCAAATTTATGGCAAAGTCTAGATAACATCCTCAGATTCATTAACCAAGTCATATGGACAGTTTTTGAGGAGATCCAAGACAAAGAAATAGTCTTCCAAACGCTCTCAGAAATAGCAACTAATTGATTTGATATCTAGCAAGAGTTCAGAGATGGACTTGTATTGGATTCTATATTCATGCACAGCAAATTTTCAGCGTATAAAACAGCCTAACTGAGAGACCACAGCCACATATTTTATATCAAGGTACGGTCTTTCTTTAGTCATTTTTCAGATCCGGAGTGCCTCAAAGCCAGGCACTGACAGCCAATGCTTTAGTAAGAGCTGGGGAATCCAGGAAAACAAGCATGACAGAAACCTTTTACCTTAGGAAGACTCTATAGCGTCTGCATCCCAATGCTACAGGAAGAGCATGCGTCAAGCCATACAGGAAGGCCAAGAAAATAAAGAGAAGCACTTTAACTACACAAAATTTTGGAGCTCCACAATCTCAGAATGACAGCTTTCACCAAAACAAGCACATGGGACCAGACCAGGAAATTATCTGGCTTTTTTTCCCTTAAAGAGAAGCCAAGAGATGTTTACCTCTATTACCCTACCAAGACTAAGAAGTACAAACAGTGAAGAGCAGTAACTGGGAGACACATGGCTCTGGCCAAGTCTGTAGGAGCTCTGGAGATAAAGGATCTGGGCCTAAAAAATCCTAAGTCTTCAGGAGGGCCAATGACAGAGTTCAAGTGCTCTGCAGAGATTGAAGGAAAAGGGAGGAACAGCCTGACACACACAGTTGTTCCGAATTCTGATGCACTACTTTAGTTGCATGCATTATAGGTGAGAAAGTGAACAAAAACCTCTTAAAGTGTCCAGAACTTGCTGTTGTCCTTCATAAGCCACTAAGCATAAACAATAATCTGCATAAACAGCTTAGAAAACCTCAAAAAACAAGAAGAAAAAGGAAACTAAATCCACAAATACTCTTGAAGAATTTTTTTTTAAGATTAGAAACATTACTCTGTAACAATATTAAAAGCTCGGCCCCAGGCTGCAAAGTGTAACCTATGAAAAGAAGTAAAAGTTTTACTACAAATAACAACATACTTATCTCAAGATCCTCACAAAGTTCAGTGAAAGGCTGACTCTGTTTCTCTTGAAGTTTTTCATACTACAGAGACTCACAGAACAAACACTAATTGCTACATCTGCGCTGGCAGGCAGTCCTTAACCTGAGAAAAACTACCAATGTATCACAACAAAGTATTCAACTCCTGGCCATGGCTCAGGATAGGGGATTCGGCCCTATCCGACATTACCTCAAGAACTAGTATCTTTAAATTCATTTAGTTCAACATATGCATTTAAAAGACACTGAAAATAATCAAGAAGCCATGATCAAAACTGTCCACTTTAAGTATGGGTTGCTGAAAAAAGCCTGTAGAAGAATATGAGCTAACTTCCGAGTTCCTTCCACCTGATCACCAAATCCACCACACTTCAGCAGGTGATAACTTCTGCCATCTCTATGTCCTGTGCCAGACCTGGGAACACCACCAAAGCAGGGATAAAACCACCCAGGCAGGAGTAGGCTACTGCCTAGCAACAAGTTGTACCTAGCGGTGAATTAGCCAGTGGAGTGCTCCATAAGGAACAAAGTGGGGGGAGAGGGGGGGGAATCATCTTTCAGTAAGCACGCATTTGGATATTTAAAAGTCAGGTTAGAATGTCCTCGCTTAGGTGACACAGGCACTGAGAACTAAGCAAGACAGCAACAGCTCAGATGTCTAATCTCACAAAGAAGACTTGTCCGAAAGTCAAACAGTTTTAATGTGGAAAAAGCTCAGTAGAAAAATACTGATATTCTTTACAGGCCCTGACTACAAAACAACCAAGTCACAGTGGCATATTTGCTGACAAGAGAAAATAAAATTTAAAAAATCCATGACATTCAACTGGAGCACCAAAATATTTCCTTCAGCTTTTAAGACTATGTAGTTCTGCACATTTCCTTAGATTTGCACATGCTATATGATGTAATTTGCAGCTAAGAATAAACTGCTGATATTGACAAGAAGATTTCAGGAATATTCTGCATAGGAAATTAAGTTACAAATCTTAACAAGATGCAAAGCCTCCAAGTACTGTGGAACTACCAGTTACCAAAAAAAATCTGACAGAGGATTGATCTATAAAGTTTCATACTGTACAACAAATTCTGTAGTAAGTCATTCAGCAAGCACATTCATTACCAAGCATGCATATTATATTAATCTTGGTTGCATATGTTAGCAGTACAATGTGTTTGGCAGACCAAATGCTGCGTAGGAAGATTTGTTGGTAGAGCTTAAGTGACTGATAAATGCTGAGCCTTTGTAGTTGATGTTTTCCAGGAAAACAGCCATAAAAGCTTAGTGGAATGAGAACATAAAAGCAAACACTCATGGCATACACTGATCCCCAAGAAAGCAGTGTAAAACAATCCGACATTCTTAAGTAGGAGAAGCAGCGCAATGGATCTTTTCTTTTTTTAAAGAATCTTGTAAGTTGAAGCATAAGCCAATACAGGAATGACAGAGACAGGCTACACTGACTAGTGGAAGGAAAACTGTCTGCAGAGGCAAGTACACTCAGTTCTCTCAACCATGAAGTCAGATTTTGTCATAGTCACATTGTTTAAAGGACACGTCAGTACCAAAATGAATTTAACTATCGAGACCAATATAAAACACAAACGGTCTGGCATTCTGACAGCTTCAAGCTTTGTGCAGATTTTCACAGAAGTTCACAGAAGGGCAACAATATTGCTCAGGCATAAGAAAAGCAAATAAAATTTCACTATGCAAAAGATTACCCCTGTTAGACGATCTGTTTTAAGAAATAAATTTTATATCCTAAGAATACAATTTCATTTCATTCTTATGATGCCAATTCCAGCCACTAACCAATTTGTTTCATTTCTCTGGGTACGAGTTTTACGGACTGAAATCACAGTAACTAGGACCAGACCAAACACTCAGTGGAGGGGCTCATTCACATGCCTAGTCATCTACAGTCATCGTTCCACTGCCAAACCAGAAGCAACACTGGGTGCGCAAGACATGGCTGCAGCAAGCTGGCTGTCCAGTGGCGTAAGCATGGCTTAATTGATCCAGTCGAGGTCTGACCTACCCTTGCTCTGCACATCTGCAGTGTAATGAACATGTTTGCCATTCCCCTACGCAATGTATATAGAACATACATGCAAGTTACTTTGTGAAATTCACATGACAACAGTCCATGCACTTATTTGCTAGAAAGCTGAAATGCTGTACCAAGAAGAAGAATGCTGGCATTACCACTAGTTAGTACAAACTGTAGATGTGGAGAACTGCTAGCTTAGAGTGCTTTCAGAATTTTGAATTATCCACTCAATAGCATCCCACCCCTGGAGTAACAGAAAAGATTCACAACATATGGCAAATGATATTTCCGTCATCATTAAAAATAATAATGCATCATCTGCCACTTCCACCTTGGAGCAAAATCTCAATACTTACTTCCTATTTCTTCAGAACAACAAAACATTTTTCAGCAGCTTTCACAGGGTTTTAAGATGGGTGCTAAGAACCCGGAGGTACAGTACAGCATGAGAAAAGCTAGTAATAGCAGAGTAGGTTACTGTGTAGCTAAGAAATGGCTGGTAACAGCAAGTACATATTCCAGTCAAGTTCAACATCTCTAATGAGACTCTTCAGTGAAACACGCAGGACAAGGAAGTGGGTTTGATTTGCAAGAAGCTTGTGAGCCAGTATGTTCATTGAAAAAGGCAGAACAAAGGAACAATCTTTAAAAGAAATTGAGCTCTCACACAGGCAACACCTGAACAGGCACCAGGAAATATTTACACTCTAACATGCAGATGTGACAGACGCCACAAGAGGAATTCAGCCAGCACTTTTAAGAGTGCCTAGCTGATCTGGCTATTCCAACTAGGTAGTGCTTTGCTACCTCCGAGTCTGAAGTTTGGCTGTGAGTCAGGGTTTGGACTTCTCTTTCAAGAATATGCCCCACACAGACTTTTAAATGGAAACTGTATCAGAATAGAATTGTAATTTATCTGAAACACATTCTATATATGACTTTCAAACAAGCATAGAGAGCACTCGGCTAGTTACAGTTACTCTTCAGCATCTAGAAATTACCCACCACTCGTTCGTCATCCCCTGATTTCAACCTGTTTTCCTCTCATTTCTGGAGAAGCACACAGAAGGGAGGAAAAGGAGGCTTTCTCCTCTCAATCTAGTTGGTCAATACCTCCCTTTGAGTTGGCTTACACCGCCTTGGTCAAGCAACATCTCTCGTGAGGACAAAGGGCTGGCCAAAGCACAGGCTTTCTGGCATACTAGGAGTGACCTGGGCCAGATTCTCACCGTGCTGAACCTATCCAGCAATGCGGAGCAACAAATTCAAATTTTAGGTGCGCTTGTCCTGCTGTTAGGCAGCGATGCCTACGCTCCTTTAGCAATCCCATTTCTTTCCCACCTTCCCCAAAGAAGGATAGGACAAAGTCCCCAAGAACAAGCACTGCCTGTGCAGAAGTACAGCTCCATGGCTGCAAGCCGAGTAGAAAAAGCAAGCACAAGATAGAGGAGTTGGTGTAGTGTTACCTACAAAAGCCATCATGGTTTCACCTCTTCAGAGAATACGCCTCAGCTTACACTACCTTACTTTCAGCCAAAGGCAAGGAGACAGCTCAATAATGGATAGGAATTGGAACAGCTAACACAGCAGCATAGAAAATATGCTAGCATTAACTGCCAAATTCAGATTACACAGGCTGAAAAAGAAGTTATATTCACTACTAGCACTAACTCCTGGAAACAGGAGGTTACTGTTTAAAAAGGTGCTTCGGAAAAAAAACAAACACAAAAGCCAACTAATACTATGTGTATGCTGTGTGTAATTGTAGCATACACATAGAGGTTGGTTTGTTCTGATGTGCAATTCTAACTGAAAAAACATAGATTTGGAAATTATATTCCAGTTGTTGAGGTCCTACCAAAAAAACACCAACAAACCACAGTTTAGAGAAAACAAATGAAGTATTCAGCACACATGATTGACAACTACTGTTTCAACAAAACAAAAGGAGGGTGGGGGGAGAGGACGAAAAAACAAAACAAAGATGTACCTTTCTGGCATTAGAAGATATTGTGTTTGCCATTAAACTTTCCAGATAACTGCTCAAGCTAATGCCTTTAACAGTAATTATTGCTTCTTGAGTTAGCACAGTTCTGTAAGAGAATAAAGTAAAGTTAATGCCTACACTGAATTGGATTAACATGTCTCCTATACACAAAGCACAAAAATATCCTTACTGTTGAGGGTTTTCAGGATGAGGTGTGTAAACCAGTCTCTCGTCAACAGACACCAAGTTTGTTAGAGTAATCTTAAAAAGAAAAAAAAGAGAGCTGAAATCCTCACTTCCTGCTTTTCATTTTTCTGTTATCTACTCAATAGTAGAGAACTCAATTTCACGCCAGAGACAAAGCAGTGTACACAGAATATAAAACTCAGAACATAGTCAACAAAAAGATCCATAAAGTGATGCATCTTCTCCTATCCTAGATCCAGTTATATCAAAGCTTCTATTCACAGTACAAAGCATGAACAGCTTTCCTTTCATTTCCTCTGAATGTTGAATCTTATCTGATTTATGGCATGCAATTCAGAGAGGCTCTTCAAGACAAAGACCACTATAACACTATCTGGAGTGTATAGAAAATTAATATTCAGGAAAAATAATGCCTCACACAGAGACAAGGCTGTCCTACAGACAACTCCTCCTTAAATCTGGGAGTTACATGTTCCCAGCACACAAAAATATAGCATAACGCTCCATTTACATGTTGAGAAAAAAAGGCATTTAAAATTAAAACTTCTGTTGTATGTGGCAATGTAATGTTGAAAAAGTTATTAATCTAAAAGTAAAACTATTTTACATGCATTCTAAGAAATAATCTTACATTAAAAGCAGAATCACAAATGTTTGATCTCAAACTATTTTAACTTTCCTATTTGTGGGAAGGAGGATTAAAAAAAAAAAAAGAAGACAGTTAAGATGCCGACTAAGACATGGAAATTGCCGTCTCTGAGCAAAGATACAAATGTATTTCTATCTAAATGTTAAGAGCAAAACATGTAATCTCCAGAACTAATTACCAGAAATTTCTTAAGCTACCACTCACATTAGTTGAGCAAAGCTCCATCTTTTTTTCCACTGGATCTACCACAGAATGTTCCTCAATGTAAGTCAGAGTTCTACTTGTTCCTAAAATCTGAAAGTGAAGAAATAGAAAAAATTTTTGAAGTACTGAAATTAAAAAAAACCAAACCAACCAAACGCTGTAACACATAGATGTCAAGTTCTCAGTCATCTCAAATAAATACAAAGGAATTCATGGATATTAGAACACTGTGGTCCATGGGAAGACTACATCCTGGTAGGTTGTATCAGTCACACAGCATGACATAGACAGTCTGTAAGGCATGCATATGCATAAACACTACAGGCATATTAAAGCCTACAATGTATTCTCATTACTACGTGCACTAATTACAGTTTATGTGATATTTGTGGATGATATTTTCTATCAAATAAGCTATTACTTTGGATTCAGCTTGAATTCAGCTGATGACATAGACACGTTAACAAACCATAAAGACTGTGCAGGTGTACCGCTTTCACTATGCTTGGCAATCCCCACTCCGTGCTGAGAAGGCGGTGACTGTGCAACCTCCCCTGGTTATCAAGGCTTCTGTCGAGGACATCTACTCCTACCACACACGGATTCATTGGGTTGGGGTACTTCCTCATAGCAGCTTTGATCACTGTATCCCACGGGTGTCTGTAAAAAAGGAGACAATATTGGTAACTATTTTGTACTTAATTGCAAGTGTTCAGGCAACACTAAATCAGGGGTCTAGCTCACGTAATACAGGATGTGCCGTCTAACTCGCTAGCTCCTGAAAGTCCCCTCAGAATTCAGTGATGCTTGAAATGGCAATCAGAAAGTATCAATACACAAATAGAAAAAAACATTTCTTTCTCCTGAATGAAGGAGAGAATTATTAACCCAAGACTAATAGAAACAGGGCAACAGTCACAAGTGACATTCCAATTAGCTGTATAAAAAACTCATGATGACAGGGTAGCTGTCCACAGAGGCTGTTTAATCTCGATCCATTTCAGAACTCAACCACAAAAACAATCCGACCTAACAAAGCCCGCTTTGGGGAGGGGACTGGAATAGATGACCTCCAGAAGTCCACTCCAACATAAATTCTTCTGTAATTCTAAGCACATCAAGTAAATAAAAAAAAACACACCACCATTAGCTTTTATTTCTTCCTACAGCAAAAAAGCAAAGTGACATTTAATTCAACTAAAAAAAAGTCAAGATGTTCAAAATAAAGAAATATTTTCAGAAACCAGATTGGCTCACTGCCTGCATCTGTGCTACTGCTTCCTGCAGCTTTGAAGCACGAATTACATATATGGATACTCTTCCCAATACAGAACTCTTTCTATGAAACAAGTTTTGATAACCTCAAATTCCTGGGATCAAAAGTAGCCCCACTATTGGAAGACAGACTGTAAACATGCTTTTGTTGTAGAACTTCATACATCTTCTTCTGAAATAGAGGAGACCAAAGAAATTATGAATTTGATCCAATACAGAAATTCTGTCCCTAAGCAATTATTTTGGTATTCAGAATAACTGATAGATCTGGAATGAAAGGTTTATAACCTTTAAAGGTACTCTTTAAAATTCAACTGTTGATACTTAACTTAAGAAGGCTTACCAGTGCCAACACGTACATAAGAATTGCACTTAGGGCCCTAAATGGATCTGATTTTTAAGAACACTATTTTTAGTCTTAGTATAGACCAGTACAGAAGGACATCAACAGTACAACACTGCCAGAATAAACAGAAGCTTGGAAAAATAAGATCTTTTTCCAACAAGAAAAGTAAGAAAAGGTCTTTCAAGCTTTATTGGTGCAAGCAGGAGAGGTAGAGACCTGAATTCCTGCATCAGAAGCAGAGCTGGAGGACCATTTCTTGTTATCTTCTGTGGGTACACACCATAGGCAACAGAAGACAAACTGAAAAGGTCAAATTTCTATTAAGTGTCCTTGAGAGATTTTAAGAGTCAGAGATCTGATAAGGCACAACAATATTTTACTAACCTCTGAACTGAACTATCTAGGCCCACACACATTACACCATAAGACAGGGGTATTACAATACAGATGAGAAAATGGCAAATAAAAATCGACTTTGTGTTTCCCAGGTAACAGACATTCATCTCAAACTCAGAAGCTATGCCACACACAAGTTGCCTTTATTAGCCTCTCTGTGCCATTTCATATTAGAAGCTACAGTTTACCTACACCAGACTAACGTTAAAGTTGAACACCTAAAGCCAGTGTAATTAATTAATAGACTTGTGTTAAAGTAATTAAGTAAGTTTAACACTGCACTTCTGGGATATTTTGTAAATATTTTAAGAACTACCATCCTCAGTGCTCTTCAGGTTTTGAGATTTTTTTAAGAGACCTGTAGCAGGCGAGTTATCAGTGGCATGTCAAGAGCTGCAGTGACACTGCTGTGACCTCCACGTCAGCTCCCTGGCACAGCTTGCTACATACCTGTTGATACTTTTGCCTGTGACTCCCTCTCTACACAGAAGGGGAACTGGATGACCAGAATGACATTCATAACACGCTTAGTGCAGGAAAGGACTGACAGGAAGAGAAGTTACTCTGCTGTCCCTGGCTGTTTGCCAGGCATCTCTGTGAGAGCATCTGGCGGCGAAGGTGAGACACACAGTCCCTCTGTGCGCGTATCCTCGTGGATATCATCAAGTACGTTAGCAGGCTTGTTTTCTTTCATGGTGTGAAAGTTATTTTTCCTTAAACACGCACATCTTTATCAAGCAATTACGCTTTTGAGCCAGGTCTAGCACTCCCCCGTAGCAACGCTATTTCCCGGGGCAAGCGACAGGGGGTGAGAGAAGCCCTCGCACGGGGTCTCACCACGCAGGACGAAGCGCAAGGCGACGGAGGGCCGGCAGCGGGGGGCGCTGACGCGCGGCCGGGGACCCTCCCCAGCCCATCCCCGCTCACTGGAGGGATTTAAC